CGCTTCTTTCACTATGCCTTTTATATGCTATACAAATCACATATATATACATATATGTATATAACACATGCAACAAAAAACGTCATCCTACACTACGCAGAGGAGAAACCACTGAAGGAGGAAAGTGAGAAAGGATTATAAAATATATTTGATATGATCACTTCTCAACTTTGTGCTCCCAATGCAGTCCTTTAACAGTGCGAGACTGCAGTGTGTGCTCAAATCATACCAGCGGTGGCAGCACAGTCAAGCTATAAAATCATATTCCAGTTCTGAGAAGAAAACTGTGAACACACACCACAGACTGTAATAAACTGATTACTTACTGACCATGTAACATTATTATGTGTCCTATAATCAACTGTTATATTTACTGGCAGACTCAAACACTGTGCTCTCAGGATTCAGATTTTTACTCTGGTATTTTTTAGGGGCCTTGTTGCTTTTTATTTTGATAGGACAACTGACAAGATGTGCACAGCGCCAACATGTATTTTTAGGTATTTTTACAGAGGCCCCAGAATACAAAATACTCAGGAGATCACCCCATCTGGTTTAATCAGTTGGTTTCGTTTATTTCTGTATATTGTCCTGTGTATTCTCTGTATACTTCTGTGTATTACTCTGTAATACAGTTGTCCCTGTGTATTTCTGTATAATTGTCTGTATACATTCTGTGTACTTTCTGTATATCCTTCGTGATGTACTTCTCTGTATATTTCTGTATAGTTTTCATTTCTGTTGTATAGTTTCTGTATACTCTTCTGCCTGATTCTCTGTAATACCTTCTTCTGTAAATATCGTGTAACTCATCTTCTGTATACTTTCCTGTGTAACTTTTCCTGCTGATAGCATTCTCTGTATATCTGTGTATATTTTTCTGTATTCTGTGTACTATTCCTCTTGTATATTTCTTGTGTATATCTCTGTTATACCTTTCTGTCTAATTTCTGTGTACGTAACTTCTCTGTAATACCCTTTCTGTGTATTCTGTGTATATTTCTCTGTATTTTTCTGTTTTGTGGTGTCTACGGCGGCTCTGCGTGGCCTCACAGCCAGGATGCGACGTTCAGGGCAGCTGGTACGTGCCATGTACGCCCCAAGTTAAGGGTACTGTTCTGTGAGGGCAGGATCCTTCTCTGATTTTCCAAGCCTGGCTGTCTGCAGCAGCAGAAGGACAAAACGCGGCTCACTCCTGGCGTGTTCATCAGCCATGTGACTGTTGCTGAGCAGGCTGCCGGTGGCTAGCCCGGTGAGCGTGTGCGTGCTGAAATGGCGCTGTCTGTGGTGAGCCCGGGGGAGAGTTTTTTCGCCCAGCAGGTCCGGTAGGGACGAGGGACGGCCGGGAGGGCCGACCGGCGTTCCTGCACTCTCAACCCACTACCCCGGAAACTATCCTCACGGCACGACGACCGAGGGCCCAGAAAAACAGTTCCATCCAACGGACGTTTCCTGAAACCGGCCCCCGCAATACCCACTACAACTCTAAATGTCGGCCTACGAGCGGAGAAATACTGAACTCCAGCCTACTGACGTGGGATGAGAGCGAAGAAAAAGCACTCGCCACCCCACGCCATAGATCTGGAGACATGCAGCTCCTCGTCCTCATTACTTTACCACGTTCTCTGAAGTCGACCTGATTCTGCGCACGTGAAGCTGACAAGGGCCAACCGCACCAGGGGGAACATGCCTCCTTATCCAGCGGACCCCCCGAAGCGTCGTCACAGAAGGGTCACGCCGCTCCTGCCTTCACCGAGCGCCGCTGCCTCACTCTCCTGGAACCCGAACTGGGCGTGTGAGAGGACATGCCGCCTGTCCTGAGCACGGCTGTACGTCGGACTCCCATTACGCCGACTCCTGTCGGAACCTGGGACAGCCGCACGACCGGGACTCCGACAAGGCAGCATCCTGATGCCTGAACGACCGGACAGTTGGACCTGGCAGGGGCCGAATGCACAGCACTCGGCGAGGCTTCCTTTTGCGAGATCTTTCTCGCTGCCCTGCCACGCTCTCGAGCCCTACAGCCCACATCCCGTAGCTCTGCTTGCAGCCTACACTACCACGTATGTCCATCCCGCCGCGGCCATCTCACATAACTGTTTAGCCAAAACAGATACGCTTCTTTGAGCAACGAGTCCAATCGTGGAACCAGCGAACCCTCGGTAGGCCCCCCCGGCGCCCGCGCTGTCCAAACTGTCACCTCCCGCCTGATCTGTCTCGGAGGCTCGCCTGACGCCGCCGTTCAGCTCTGGCTAACGCCAACCGGCAGCTACCGATTAGCGAGTCTCTAGCACCGGACGAACTCCAGAGGCGACAAACGCAGACAACCTACCTTCACCAAGACACAAAACCACACACACCCCATATCTCGACCCACCCTACGAATCTGATCCACGTTCTCCACCCAACACACGCTCACCTCGGACTAACCGAGTTGTCCTGTCTTCACACTCCAGCTATGCCGCCTTCACCCACTCAACGTGCACCCATCTTCCGCTCTGGCGTCGATAGCTGACTCCGGTGCGGCCTGAACGGGATGCGAGAGCATGGCTGACACTACCAGCATCCGCGTCACATTTTGTTTTTCCTCACCTACCACGCAACGAGACAAAGAACATTGCAACTCTCTTTTGCAAACATTTTTCTGGCACACCATCTTGTGTAACCACACGGGTCTCAATATGTGCACTCTTAAAGGGTTACAAATGATTTTTTAATATTTCATACTTTACGTTTTTTTGTGTACCATAATCGCGCGCGACAGAGAGCTGGGCCCTCCCTCCAGGTACTGCTTAGACTGCAGACTTTCCCGTTCACACTAGAAACAGTCCAGCAACAGAAAGAAACCGCGGAACTTACTGACGTCTGCCAATGTGATCCGTTTTACTAATAAAGCTGAATCAGAAGAGTACATCACCAAACCTGCAGGTGCAGTGCAGATCCTCCTGCAGGCACGTACAGTAGACGGCTGTCTCATGGACAGGGCAGGGACACAAAACAGCATACTGGCAGAGAAGACAGGAGAACAGGACAGGTTTATAGACGGGCCCAGGTACACCTCGCTCAGGCTGTATGTGTCGAACGATGTTCTCTGGCTGTGGTACCTTTCATGTCCACGATCCACTCGGCCTCGCAACTCAAGCCGAGGGCCCGTTTGCCACCAAGGCCGGCCCGTCTTGTTCCTTTCTTCACCCAAAGCCGAACAATGACCACCCACCGCGGGGATACGCACGACCCTGCAGGTTAGAGCGGAGGACGGGGGGGATGTAAGTTTCAGTGTGAAAGTATGAGCACGGCCGGAGAGGCAATAATGTCATTCAGGCCTGTTGAACACCCATACATGCTAGATCATTCCTAACTCTTCATCCATCCGATTATTCTTCATTCATACCACAAGATTTTTATTCTCCACACCTTCATGCTTTGCCTTTCCCCGTAGAGTCCCTACCGTGCTTGGTTAGAAACACGTTCAGCGAATTGTCTAAAATGTGATCCATTGTCTTAAAGGGAGTTTGGTGCAGCGGAGCTTTACGCTGGATTGCAAACTGGCTAATATGGATCATTTGCTCAAGTGTTTAGTCTCGCCACTACAAGAAACATGCTCGTCAGCCAACCCTTATTTGTTTTCACTGATTTACATTCTGATGGTTGAGTGTAAACCGTATGGACAGCCCTGAAAGGCCTAATGTTGCTGATTTTGGTTTAATGTGAGAAAAAACATTCGATCATTTTCAGTTTCTTACAAAAAAGCATGTTTGCTTGTTTGTTGTTTTAATCATCCATTTCCGACCAACAGACGTCGAAGTGAAGTGTTCGTAGTTTTCTGGCTCTTTTGTGTGTCAAGCCAGCAAACGAAGAAAACATGAGAATGGTTTTTCGCGACGCACCTCGACTCCGTGAGGCATGCCCGACCCCCGCACCCGACGCTCCACCTTCGATCCGCGTCTTTACCAAACATGGTTTTGCGTAGAAAACCACAGCCAGTTTCCTGGAGAATGTACGAGACGTCCCTGCCGCAGGAGTCCTCTCCCAACACGCACACGAATACCACTACAGACCCGCCACCCAGAGGCAGGGAGAGTCCAATGAACCAGGCACAGCCAGTCATCTGAGCCTAACCCCAGGTCAACCCCGGGTACAAACTGCAATGAGGACCACCCGGTGACGGGACGGTGCCGCTGGCCTGTCAGTCATTACCTTTCATCTAAGATTCTCCTCTTTAGGGACAGCTCTGGAACAGTTTGTGGTAAGCTGACGAGTTGTACTTGCCTGACCGGTCTGTGGAGAAAAACAGCGGTAATCACAGGATTAATGTCTTCTGCTGATCGAAGATCAATCTAATCCATTGATTTTAATATCATAATTGGCAGCAGAGACCCGTTGTGCTCTTTTTACTAACTTCAACAGTTTACAACATATTATTTTTATTTTTAGTCTTTTCACTAAAGAATTGATTTCCTCAAAAATGATATGAAAATAATTAACTTAAAGCTGTTATTTCATATGAAAACGTAATAGAAAACTTAATAAATATACTCAGCATCTGGTTCAGTTGTGTGAATAAAAGTAAATGTAAAGTTAATTGTCTTAATAGAACAATAGCCAAAACAGGGAGAAGAAAACACTGAATTTGTCAGAAAAGAAGCTTATTGAGTCTGTATGATTGTTTAAAGGATAAAAATACAGAATACAGACAGAGAATTTGTATAAAAGTTCCCTAACAGGAAATAATCTGCTCAGAATTCATCCAAATCTCTGGTTTTACATAAACTTCCTGCAGTTACTGAGTTCACTGTTTGGTTTGTACAGTTTTTAATATGAAATATCTATAAAATAAGTCAGTTTACTCACTGATATAATCAATATTTGTTTTACTGCTCAGTTGATATTTGATGTTACCACAGTTTATTGACCTGCGGCAGTTTCCCACCAAGAACAAAATGCCCTTGTGACTCTAGTGGAAGTGTTTATTGATTAGTGATTTACTTTTGAGTGTAATTTCAGTGTCTCTCTGCCTGTCTGTCTCTCTACCTGTCTGTCTCTCAGTGTCTTCCTGTTAGTCCTGTCGTCCTGCTATCTGGCCTTCAGAGTCTGTCGTCTGGAGCAGCAGCTGAGCTTCCTGAGCAGCCAGCCGACACTGAGAGAGAGGTACCGGACACACGGACACAATTCACTGCCACTAGGTGTCGCTGCAGCCCATTCATTCAGAGTGAACAGAAACTCACCAAAATAGTCTATAATTAACGTTTTGAATTCAGGACTCCTTCGTGTAATGGAGTATTTTTAGACCGTAGTATTTCTACTGTTATATGAAGTAAAGGATCGGAGTAGTTTTTGTTAGTGGATTATATCTATAAGAAAAACAGACGCAGAAAAGTTTAACTGAGAAATTCAAACCAAAAATCCAGTCGATCAAGTAAAACATGAGACGTGCTGATCCTGTGTTCCTGTTTCCAGGTGTGGCGAGGTGCCATGCTGGCTGGCCAATCAGAGGACAGGAACCTGACGCTGAAGCCAATCGGGGAGTAAAGAAGCAACCTGCACTTACATAGACTTCCCACTAGGGGCCGGCGGTGAGAGTAGACAGCTCTCAGGAGCAGACCGACGACTGCAGCAGCCGCCAGCATCTGAACTCTGACCCCGCCGCGACCTGGTTACCATAGAGATGTCACAATAGTCAACAGAAACAGTAGACTTGAACTTAGACCTCTGAGGACAAAGCGCTTGACGCAGAAGTCACGTAGAGGTCGGGAGGCTGGAGAAACGACAACATGCTGTAACATAAGTGAGATGTAGATTTGTACTGTGTGAATGTGTGTGTGTCTGTGTGTCTGTGTGTGTACATAAGGATCCACATAAGACTAACACACACGGACCGTCCGGTCTGTGGACGTAGTTCAGGTTAAACGTGTTCATACAGGAGTTGGGAGGAGCTGCTGCTGGTTCCTGACGTGTTTTTCCTACTTTACTACCCATGAGCCTCTATGGAGAAAAAGCCAATCAGCGTGGTAACAGATTCAAAACACTTGTTTGTTTTGTAAACAAAAGACGGCTTCCCCATCCATGATACTAACTTATATATTCTGACAAACTGTTGATTTTAGCCAACAATAAATGATGTAACAGTACAAAGCGAACAATAGCTTCCTACTAGCCAAGAGCGATGTAAGGGAGGGGCATCCAGCTACGACGCCGACTGCAGTTCACCTAACGGCCACTGGTGGCGCTGTTAACAACGTTCTTCTGAAAGTTACATATTACAAACCTTTAAAGAAAACTTAAAAATGCAAATTTATGTTGGAAAAACATCTGGAACCTGCAGCTCTGCTCACGTCACTGCTCTGTAGTTTGTGTGTTTTCTGCCATTTTCATTCATATCTCAACTGCCAGATTTTTTAAAAACAATTATTATTAAAAGTCACAGTTTTTAAGATGTACAAAGTGCCAGAATTCAGAACACCATCTGTAAAACACAAAAATAAACAAAATCAATAACTATATAAGTCTAATTGCTGCCTTAACTTGCAATGTAGCCTCAGATATTGTTCAGTTCATGTGGAGAATTCAAGCCATGTCCTACTAAAGGTTGAATGTTACAGAGTAGATAATGTGAACCTGAATCCCGCTGCAACTTTGGGATGATTCTTGTTTTTAAAATAAACTGTCTGTGCCAAATCTGTGAAATGATGTGTTTGTTTGCCAGAGCTGGACTCCTGTGTAGAAACCACCTTCGACTCTGTTAAAGAAAACACGTACCAGATACGGCTGAAATGTAGAGTTTATATTTGAAGCACTGGTGCTGTTTATTTATCTTTTAACTCATATTGTAGTTCTGGTTGTAACACTAAAATCACTAATAAACACATTCCCATCTCTGGATTCATCTTTAATTACAGTTAATTAAGTTTCAGTTGTCTCCTCGAAACCACATCAGAACATTCTTAAAGGATAAAGTTGTTTTTATTCTGAATTATTCATATTTATTTTTGTCAAATTTCGTGTTAAGACTTAAACCAACAACATGTTTGTGTGTCTCTAATTAGTCTGAGGCTCTCAGCTCCAAGCCCATTGGTTCCTACTGAACACCTCACAAATATAGTTTCAAGGTTAAATTAAAGTTCAATTAAAGCTGCAGGCAGCAATGAATTAAAACGTCATGATTGTCAAACAACAGTTAATAAAAACCTGAGTCCATTTAACAATAATACTAAAGTTACAGAGGACAGGACAGAGGTCAATGCTGTAGATACAGGGCGTAAGTCAGTGCTGTAGATGGAAGTCAGAGGTCTGTACTGTCTATGATAAATGTAATGGGTCTAATTCTAAAATGCTCCACCGTGTCGTCATTAATAAAACTATCTTATTCTATTTAGAGTGCAGCTGCTCGTCAGTTTATTAATATTATGGCTAATAAATAAAGTGTCACTAAATTCAATGATTTCTGAGTGGAGTTTTGTACTTTAAGTATTTACTCTTCACAACACTTTCTACTTATTTATCTGACAGCTTTAGTCACTCGTTACTTTAATAATTAAGATTTTTATTTATCATTTTGATTTTTCATGTGAAAACATTCAGGTTCTAGATTTGCTGCTTGCATAGTTAAAATAGTTGAGTACAACCATCACAGTTTAATACTTTAACTACAGTTTACTCATTATACTGACAGTTTAACTGAAGTAACAGTTTAATAACATTTAATAAATTCTCCAATAATGTATATTTGAAATAAATCTACAGAAGACTTCAGAGACGACTGGGACTAGTGAACAGAGGCTTCACTTCTCTGAAACACCACATGGGGGCAGTATAGCAGCTATTTTAAATGTCACTGAAACTACATTATAATGTATGTAAACCAACATCCAACTTCACCACAGATCATTCATATCTTATCTAGTGTAATCTAATTATTCCAGTCTAACCAGCACAGTACTGGGGGGGGGGGGGGGGGGGCAGGGTGACACATTAATATAGACCCAAATACAAGACTTTTCTTTTTAAATCATTAAAGTTATACAAATTAGACACACATGCTAATTTTCATATTAATGGAAAAACATTTTTAGGCCCAAAAATACAGTCAGAACTTTTTTTGCTTTATTGTGTTCAAAAACTAAACAGCCGGTAATGGTTGAAAGATTTTATCAAAATATCTTTTTAAAGTGAAAACATGTCGTTTATGCTGGAAAACTATTTTTTTAAACAATTGTTTCACATAAAATACTTTTTGGTTTTGACTTAATAAAGTTACATTCTGAGAAAATCTAATGTATAGTTAGTGAATGTTCGTGTCCTCAGTTCTTCATCAACAGTTACCACAAAACAAATCAACATATTTGGATATAAAGTTTACTCAGAGGAAAATGAGCTTTCCAATCGTACTCGCTGAATATCTTTATTATATTGTACTTAAACATCCCTTACAAAGGGCAACATTTGATCAATTTTGGTGTCGTATATTAAAAAATAACATGTCTGTGCCCTTTGGATATTTTTATGATATCAGTGTTAAAGAATATGTTACAGGAGCAAAATAACCAGAAATCAGTTAATGAGAAATAAAACAGACGATCTGAGTCAGTCAGTGGATCTACAGGACCAGGAAGGAAGCAGAGGAATTAGATGTGAGGATTTAGTGACATGTGACCTCAATACTGCTCCCTATCCAGCCTGGGTCAGGGGTCAGAGGTCAGGCAGTGACGAGAGCAGTTAGGCTGTTAAATGCCTTAAATTCATCTGGAGCAGCGCAGGTAAAAGACTCAGTGACAGTGAGCAGGTTTCTGTCTGTTCACAATAGCTTTTACATTATTTAAGGTATTTATACTGAACATAGCTAACGAGTTGATGGCGACCTCTGAAATTAACAATAATCACAGTAATGAAGCCGCTAGTTAATTAGTTAGTAGCTAATTCGCTAGCTAATCTACATTAATAGTTAGCTAGCTAGTTACATCTGGAACACTAATTACCTAGCTAACCATTGGTGCAGATTAGTTAGACTATTTAAATGTTTCTTATCTTCTAACCATCTTCAAAATGTGGTTGTCTTTATTTATATCTAAGCACAGGAAGTTGGCTGAGGTTCTAAAAGGGGCGGGGCTTGTGAAGTATCAGTCTGAAATGGGCGGGGCTTGCGAAGCGTCCGCCTAAAAGGGGCGGGGCTTACAACGTGTTCACCAACATCTGCTGAAGAAAACACAGTTGAACATTTAAAGGTCTGAATTAGTTTAATTAATCTTTATTATTCGTTAACAATCCTAAAACAGAACGTATGTACATGACCTGAGCAGAACCAGAACCTGCAGTCCATAAGACCACAACAAACCTGATCCAGGACCACAACAAACCTGATCCAGGACCACAACAAACCCTGATCCAGGACCACAACAAACCCTGATCCAGGACCAGTGCTTTAATAAACACCAGATTCACTGGTTCAGATCCAGTACGGACCCGGAGCTGTTCCTCCTGCTGGGAGCTGGATCAACACTTCCACTGTCCTGTTTCCTGTTTCCTGTTTTCTGTTTCCTGTTTTGTCACTTCCTGTTTCCCGCACTATCCTCACTGTATACTTCCTGTCTTATTCTCTGTTATCTTGTCCCATCTTCTCTTTTTATGTCTTATTTTGAAATTCCCATACTGTCCTGTTATTTCCTGTCCCGTATTGTCTCAGCAGATAACTCCTCCCCTCGGAGACTCCACCATGTCCGGTTGGCTGGAGAACGGTCGGGGACTCATCGGCCCACCGGCCACCAGGAACTCCACACTCCCCTCGCCCCCTCCCACCCCGTTGTCCTCCTCCGTCCCAGCATGCATCCTGCCCGACGCCGACAGCAGCCGCACGTCGGAGTGCGCGTTGGCCACCGTGTGGCGCCGCACGCCGCCCGACTTCTCCAGGTAGGCCTCGCCCTCCTGCTCCACCAGCGGGGCCAGAGACGATGAGTCGGAGGAGTTGTGGTGCTCGGTGACGGTGATCTCCGGCTGGGACTGGTCGCCTAGCAACAACCCCGACGACCGCAGATGGCGAGACTCTGGATGAGGAGACAGGAAACGGGAATTTTAAATCTCACCAGAGAAACTTTAAAGGAACAGTTAGTTAACAAAATCTGCCAACCAGCACCAACAATGAAGAGTTCACATCTTTATTGATCCTATTGATCAG